CCCTAAAGGCCTGCTGAAGTGCTACTGGTCTGTTACTGGAAGACTGGAAGGAGGTTATGCATTCTTCTATTAATCCAGCTTTTAGGGGAAAAAATATAACTGATTTGAGGAAGGCAGCTGTTCCTGCTGGCTTTGTAAACAAGAAACACAGAAGATCAGTAAGGAAGAAATAGACTGAACTGGATGTTTTAAGTAGCTTTCAGTTACTTGCTAAATTATATTTGATGGATTTGAAAACATTATTAGTAAATAAAGTTTGTGTTGATGAAAATAGTTACTTAAAGCAGTGTTTTATTTTCCTAACTTACGACTTTCTCTGCTCCTAACCCCTGTTTCTCAACAGCAGTTTGTCATATAATTGCCACAACAAGCCCATAATTTGTATACAGGTATGTATTTTGAAAAAGATCAAAACAGGTTTAGCTACCCATGTTTCCAGTCTCAGTCCACAAGGAATCACATTTTCAGACTAGCCCTCTTCACTCCATCTTTATATTAAGAGATGAAAAAAAAAGCAGGTATTGTTTGTTTGCCAGGCCACATTTCCAAGAAAATTCTGCTGCTTTCATAGCTGACATACCTGGCTCCATTTTTTCATCTAACCTAAGAGAAGATCTAAACTGAGAGCAGTTTTAGTTGGCCCCTGTGAAGGCTGGCACACTTCACCACATACAGTGTCCTCTGTGCATCCTCCAGTCAGAATGCATGCCCAGGCAGCTAGCAAGGAAAAAAACTAGCGGTCTTCCTGTGAGGAGGATTCACGTGTGGTACGGCAAGGTGTATTAGGCCCAAAGCCATGCTGGGCAAAAATCACGGGCATATTCTCAGGACCAGGTTAGGTTTGGAAACAGTACAGCTACCCCAGCAGCGCCAAGGGTCAGTGCAACATCCTGACTAATACCAGCTGGATGCAGAGAGCCACCTTGCACATCCCTGTACCATTTTTACATGCACTGGAGGTGCATAAAGGCGTAAAAATAGATGACCTCATGGTGTGAGCCTCAGTGTCGGACATGACTTATTTGCTGCTTGTCTGACAACAAAGTGCTCACTTGCTCCGCAAATTTATCTGGGACTAGATGCTGCCAGTTGTTTTGTAAGGACGAAACAGATCCACCTCACAGGTAGGGAAGCACCTTACTCCTTTGGAAGAAAAAAGGCTGCTCCTCTAGATACATGCAAATAAAGACTGGTAACTACTTTCTCAAACTCACTGGAGAAAAAACAAAACAAAACAAAATCAAACCAAAAGACATCAATCTTAGAAGAAACTAGCTCCATAATAGCAGTTTGCATCGCCAGGATGAAAAAGTCTTAGCTATTGATTCAGCAGCTTCTGTCCCTTCCTGAAGCGCGGCACAAAGGACGTACGCCCTGAATGGAGCTACCTGGTTGGAAATGCTGATGAAGGCAGCCTCAGCAAGCCAAAACATACCGAGGATTTTAAGGACGAGGAGAAGACAGCCATGGAGAGCCACATCCCGAACACGACCAAGCTGCTCACCTCATGGAGCGACAGGGCAAGTTGCAGTATTTTTTGAGAAGGAGGCAGGCAGGCACAAAGGACGTACGCCCTGAATGGAGCTACCTGGTTGGAAATGCTGATGAAGGCAGCCTCAGCAAGCCAAAACATACCGAGGATTTTAAGGACGAGGAGAAGACAGCCATGGAGAGCCACATCCCGAACACGACCAAGCTGCTCACCTCATGGAGCGACAGGGCAAGTTGCAGTATTTTTTGAGAAGGAGGCAGGCAGCACTCACGCAGGCGTTGTGTGG